GTCTCGAGCTTGACGTGATCCGAGTGCGACCCGGAAGGGTGCTGGGTTTTCTGCCTGCAGGGCAGTGCCGTGGTGACGTCTAATTCTGTGATCTGTCGCTGTAGGGGGAGAAGTGGTGGACAGAAGCAGATGAACCCTGGCAGGCCCTTGCATGCTGCATGGAGATCGCCAATGCCTCGCGCTCACCGGACCACACACAGTACATCTCCCACTTCCCAGTGCATCAGGTGAGACCTGTGTGACGCCTTCGTCTCCATTTCTACCTCGGCTTCTGTTACCTTCTGCCTGAAGGCACGTCACACTTGCAGCGGAATCAGGAATCAGCGGAATCAGGAATTTAGAAACACATCTAAAAATAACGACAGAGAAACACAACATCATGCCTGAAGGAGGCTCTACTGCCGAAACACTGTGCTTCCTTCTGTTTCTTCAGAGGGGAATTAACCTTTACTTGTTCCTTTGCAGCCAACGCACACGTTGACGCAGCTCCCCACTTGAACATCTAAAAAAAGTTATTAATAGAAGGCAGACATGAAATATCATCATGTAATCTGGAAGGAATCCAGTGCCTGTCTGTGTCCCTTAATCTGTCTCTACTTGTATGTTACTGGTTATGGCTCAAGCAGCTGTATATATATTTGAGCAAAAAAACACAAACTAAAAAAACAGGCAGTGGCAGTTTAAGGTAATCAGTGATTTCCACTTGCCTGCTACTGACCCCTCTGTTCCAGACCCAAAGCCTGCTCTCAGTGCCTCTCAATCTGACACACAAGTGATCCCATATGGGCTAGTCTGCTCTGAGCTCCTACAGGTGATGAAAGTAAACCCGTGTTGTAACGGATGCTCCATCCTTGGTCTTTCCTTCGCCTTCTGAGCTGCTCTTGGCTGTGAGTGTCACTGCTGGCAGTGAGACGGGCAGTTTGCAGTTGTAAAGGTTTGTGTGCGCCCAGTCCAGCATCCAGTGTCTCCGTTCACTGCATCCTCAAGCAAGGAGATCTGCTGAACGGTACCTTGCCTGAGAAATTTAGGATCTCCAGTTGTTTTGTATTGTATATCCACCCGGTTTGGACTGGCCCTATTGCGAGGTTCTGTCACAGCTCACGACAACGATCTTTCCGTGTTCCGACCCGTTGTGAGATCTGGATCTCTCTCCCTCTCCCAGGATGGCTCGTGTAACGGCCTGCAGCACTATGCCGCCCTGGGGCGCGACGTGATTGGCGCCACCTCCGTCAACCTGATGCCGTGCGAGGTGCCCCAGGACGTGTACAGTGGCGTGGCGCAGCAGGTCAGCGGGTGGGCCTGGGGACGGGGGGTCCGGACTTTTTGCAGGGGAGCGCGAGACAGTGGCGTGTCTGCAGCGTCTCAATCACATTCATGAAACATTCACCACCACCTTGAGCCTGAAACAAATGATATATTGTCCTGGACTGACAAACAGTTAGAACAATCAGTGAAGCTGTCTAGTGCCACCTAATTTAATGACCCTAAGCTCTCTGCTTTGGATTTTATGACAATGGATGTGGCGGATTTATCCAGGGAGGGGAAACGCTTTGTGAATAAAGGTGCCCTCTCTCTGCTGTCCCCCCCCGGTACCCTCTGCTGGCAGGTGGAGGAGTTCCGCGCGCGGGATGCCCAGAGGGGGCTGAAGATCGCCCAGGTGCTGGACGGCTTCATCAGCCGCAAGGTGGTGAAGCAGACGGTGATGACGGTGGTGTACGGCGTGACGCGGTACGGCGGCCGGCTGCAGATCGAGAAGAGGCTGAAGGAGATCGAAAACTTCCCCAAGGTACCAAGGGGGAATACAGCCACAGCACCGATCTCTGGTGACGGGCCACAACCCTGTACAGGGTCATCTCGGGTTAATTACTAATCGCATTTATAGAACACCTTCATCCAGTTCAGAATATTTCACTCCACCTTCCCCCCACTGGAGTGCATCTCCCACCTGTGCGACACACAGCAGCCATTCTGCACCAGCAGCAGTTCAGGGGAAGGAGTGAGAAACTGGATCAGTTCTAATGAGGGGGAAGATTGGGTAGACAGCGTCTGTGCAAGCCCGGAGTGGAATTTGGACAGCAAATAGAGGTTAGAAAGGCATCCCTAATTGTCCTACGAACAGCTGTGGGATTTTTAACGACAAAGCAGTCAGGACCTTGATTTAATGTCCAAAAGATGACATTGATATGCAAGATCTCC